ATTTTTTTAAATTTACAAAAAATAAAATAATACATCTTAGAGATTAATACTCACTCTTGCATAACGACGTAAAAATCTATAAGATAATGGAATGCCAAGATTAAAGTCTAATTCTTTCAAAATGTTTCTTTCCATTGCAATAAGCTCTTTACGACTGTAAGCATCATCACAGATGTAGAGAAAATCATCAATCAGTGGCGGACGCTGCTCCTATAATTTACGAATAATTTCATAAATTAGAAAGAAGAAACAAATATATAACTAAACATAAAATCAATTTTCAGATTTATTACTTACATCGTATTTACAAGCAATAAAAAGAGCTGTTGAACCAACTAACTGCAACAAAAATTTTGGCACAGTCTTTCTCATTAAATAATGATCTACTAATTTGATGGCAAGATAGAGTGTTTCATGATATAATTCAAAGTTTTCTTGTACTTCAACCATCCAATCTATTAATATGGCTCTCATAGATTTTGATAAATCTGGTTGGCATTCCATATATTTTTTCAATTTAAATTCAGACTAAAATAAAAATATGGTTATAAACTACTCTAAAAATTTTTAAATTAAAAAAAAAAAATTCTAACCTCTCTTTCTTTATAGTATTTGAAAATGTCATAGGCATAAAGTGGTTCACAAAATGGATCATGAATGCTCTCTCTATCAAAATCATCCACATTCTCTGGCACTTTACATAATAATTCATCTTTATTTTTCACATGAAAGCTCTGTTCTTCTATTGAAATTCTGAAAATATAAATTTTTTTAACAATTTTCAAAGTACAATTTAAGAAATGCATTCAATCATTTTATTTCATAAATTATTTCTATTTTAATATTCAGGAGAAATTCATAATACAATCATCTCTAATTCTTTACTTTTGTATTAAATTCTTTTATAATTTAATGGTATACTTGGACATTGTGCAATTTTGTTGTGTCACAATAGAATTAGACAGAGCCAGAAAGTTAGTTAGTTAGTTTAATGGAATAATGGTAATGTGATACGTGGATGATCTACTGAAGAGATGATACCTCCCAGGAGGACTTTCTATGGGAAAATGGCCCTTATTTAGACATTATATATGTGAAGAAAACCCAGAAAACTCCATGTGTCCAGCCCATTGACAAACCCATAACAAACTACCAGTTTTTAAAGGTTTTATCTGCTCGGCCACTGGTGGGCCCTGAAAAGAAAGAGGTGATCCTTGCACTTGCTGCTATGGAAGAGATGATCCAAGAACAAAGCAATCAACATTGATTGCTTTGTTTTTGTGTTTTGTTCATTTTTGTGCCCATTATCCATTAAATGCAATTCAATGCTTTTTTTTGCCTCTAAATTCTGTTAGGGACACTGAATCATATCAGGAAACATGGACATTATCACTCTGACCCCACTGTATCTTGAAAATGAAGTCAAAGACCTTCATTTATTATATTTTTGGATCCCTCATTCCACATTTAATTACCTGTTAGCTGTCAAAATGTAGTAAATATGCCATCAATAGCTATTGGGTAATTAAATACATTAAGTATTTAACTGTATACATACACACATTTTAGACATGTTTGTCAGTAGTTTCAGAGTGTCATGCAAACTAATGTTGATTTTATTTGGCCAATATAACCTGACAAGAATGCTGTAATGAAACAGCTGAAATGCATTTTAGGATGGCCAAAAATGTTAATGTTTATAGTATAATGTATAATTAGTAGAATAATAAAGGAGATACAAATAAGTCTCAATGTGTGATATGCCCCTTCATTCCCATTGACAAGATAACTCGTGAAGTTTACATAGCATTACAAAAAACTCGGTCGTTAAGACCACTNAATGTCCCGGGAAATACGACACCAGCTGTTCTCAAGGTCATCCAGCTGTGTAAACAATGACTCATCAGTGTCAAATTTCACAGAAAGACGAGACAAAGGAAAATAAAATTTGAAGCCTTTTCTTCAAAATTAATGCATTTCTTTCATTTTTTCAGTTTTAAGTATTTTTTTATGTTTAATTATAATTAATTAAAAGTTGATCGGGAACTGAGGGGTTAAATAAATACTGAGAAATAGTCAATAGTAAAATAACAATTTAACCCCTTCTGAGCCGCGCTCGAGTGTGACTCGAGCAAGTTTTTTAGCGTTACGTCGTTAAGGCCACTTTTGAAAAAATTAGTTTTTTTGAAT